ATTTAATCTGTACATTTACTCTGTTTATACATTACTGTTATTAAATTATTTTTATTCATATTTCAATCTGTACATAAGCGAATGAAGTCATGAATATGGCAGACACTGTTTTTGTGGGTGTAAAAAGTTCGAATTATGAATTAATTTTAAGGTAAGAAAAGTTTTAAATTTTTGGAATATTTTTGTTGTGTTCAATTTGTGAAGTCATTTTTTCATGAATTGTTATCAAAAGAAGGTAATATAATTATCATGCTTTATTATGAAACATTAGAGAATTAGAAAATTTTCAATGTACTTACGGCATCACGGACACAAATCTCGTGGTGTATGATTACCGCAATAATTGAAAATCGTTCCAAAATGTCACTAAATTTTATTCCTGACTGAGGTTGACATTGAAAAATTAGATGTGAATAATTCAGTAATCAGCATTGATTATTATGACGTAATTTCGGTAAACGTTTTACGGTAAATTTTACAACTCAGTTCAGCTCTAAGCACGGAGTTAAGGACAAGCTCAACATTCAAAGAAAATGGTGATTCCCCAGAATGTTTCAACAGGGAAACAGACCTTAATCAGGACTCTGGCTCTGGACAATACCATCCTGAAAAGGTCAGGTTAGTGTAACTGGCCTACCTGATAAAACCAGCTACAGCGTAGAGAGGTAGGAACGCTATATGATGAACTCCTTCTTCAAAAAACGGCCGCATCGAAAGTGGACCTGGAAGAGTCCGGATGGGGTGACAAAAACGAGATTGACTTCATCGTATCGACTAAGACTCGGATATTCAATGACGTTTCAGTGATCAATTCGTTAAACACGGGAAGCGATCACCGTATGGTAAGAGGCGCATTGAATCTAAACGTAAAATCCGAACGGTATCGACTGGCGAAGTCTACGCTCCGTCCTGAAGCCACCCAGATCCAGGACCCCGAGCACTTTCAGCTCGAGCTTCAAAATCGCTTCGATTGCCTGGAGAGCTGCTCGGATGTGGACGAATACAATGACAGGATCGTAGAAGTTGTCCTTACGGTGGGTTCAAAATTTCTCAAACCTCGCCGTACTCAAAAAAGAAGCAAGATCTCGAAGCAGACAAGCAAGCTAATGGAAGAAAGGCGTGGAATGGTTCTACAGTCTTCTGAAGATGCTCGTCGGCAACTCAATAGACAGATTTCGAAGTCTCTCCAAAGTGTTCGCTAGAGATCTGTCTCTCGGTCAGAGCTTGCTGACGAAGCTGAAGACGGAGAACGGCAGAGTCGTTACATCCCGTCCTGAGCTTGTGGCGGAGATCGAACGCTTCTATGGACAGTTATACGCAACATCACAGAAACCTGTCATTGAAGCTACAAACCCTAGAGCCAAATTAACCCGACATTATATAGAAGATATCCCGGACATCAGTCTATACGAGATTAGCGTGGCTGTCAAACAGCTTAAGAACAACAAGGCGCCGGGGGATGACGGAGTCACAGCGGAGCTTCTGAAAGCGGGTGGATTACCAGTACTGAAAGCGCTTCAGAAGCTATTTAACTCCTTCATACTCAAGGGCAAGACGCCAGAAGCATGGCACAGAGGCGTGGTGGTGCTTGTCTTCAAAAAGTCGAAAAAGGGTGACAGGGCCCATTTGAAGAATTACAGACCCATCACGTTTCTGAGTCATGTATACAAGCTGTTTTCGAGAGTCATCACGAATCGTCTCGCACGTAGATTTGACGACTTCCAGCCTCCGAACAAGCTGGTTTCCGAAAAGGTTACAGTACCATAGACCACATTCATACGCTGCGACAGGTTATACAGAAGACCGAGGAGTATAATCTGCCACTGTGCCTGGCGTTTGTGGACTATGAGGAAGCCTTTGACTCTGTCGAGACCTGGGCTTGGCCTGGGCAAAGATAAGTTTTATCTCACTTTCTGGTAGACTCTAAAAATGTTGAACAATGTATAACGAAGTTGGTTAGCGGTCAATTTTTCACATGCTTCACTGGATTCTAGAGACCGGAGAGTTATTCTATTCGTTTTTATTCTTAGAAAATTCGTTCATGTGTGTCTATATTGTTCATATTTAAAATGGACGCTCACCCGGAAGCAAAGAAGTATGGGTGCTGGAACTACATTACCCTCTTTGCTGGAATCTCCAAACACTCATTCTTATCTTACCGCTCACTTCCAGTGCTTATGTACTTCTCACACCAAAACTCTTTGTTCCTCCTCCAATCGTCTACTCTGCTCATCTCATTACTCCATTTCTGAATAATGAGATGGGCAATGAGTTCACTCTTCGTTTATTTCTTAAATTTATTCTGTTGTGGAATGAACTTCCATTAGACACTAATGATCAATAGTAAATAAGCTTTTTAAAACTAGTTAGTGTATAGCGTATGTATCTATTGGAACAAGCAAATTCATTAAATCGTTAAGTCACCTTTATACGTATGTTATTGTATAGCGTATGTATCTATTGGAACAAGTAAATTCATTAAATCGTTAAGTCACCTTTATACGTATGTTATATTATATAACATATTATGTAAGTATAGTTACATAATAGCCTCTTCCTACTTCTACTTCTTCCACCTCTATTGTGCACCCCGCCCCGTCTAAATGTGTCTACAACATCCTAAGGTTTTCTGTAGATAATGCCTATGGCGTTAAGTACGCAAATGAGTAGTTGTAAAAAAAAGTTAATAAATAAAAAAAACTATGTATTGTTTACAAGTCTATTTCATCCGATGTAAAAGTGTAACTAAGATCTTTAAGGACCACAAAATATGTTCCGGCTCTTCGACTTTTGATCTCTTAGCAGAATATATTGATCAGGCACAAAAATTTTTGCTTGTGGTGTCTCTGGTCTGTTGTGCTTGTGCATCAAATATTTCAGTTTCCAAAATTAATTATACCCATATTATTATATTGCCCAGGTAATTAACAAAAGAAGTTTCATTCAAATATGTTCAGTAGTCCCGAATATGAGAATATATAGATAGACATTTATTTTTAGATTCGTATTCTATTACTGTTTGTTATCCACCCTATATTTCATTTTTTTGTTATTATAATCAATGTATAAACATTAATTTGTATAAAACGTGTAACAGAAATAACGCGCATCCTTATACACCCCAATTAGAAACTGCATTTATAATAATTAAACGAAAATTGGAATTTCACTCTTATGTACTAAAACATTGTTTATGTATGGACACAGTAATACTAATTACTGGGTAACAGTGTGGACATCTTACAAATCAACACATTGACATCAAATTACTGCTTAGCCTGCAACAACAAATGTATGTACCTACAGCGCAATACCAGAATGATACCACCAACTACCAATACAAATTCTCGACATGAAATATTACCTACTCTGTTTCGAAATTCAGTATTTTTTTTAAGTTAAGGCATTAATTATGATTCTTACTTATTATGAGTATGGGCTAGCATAGTCTTGCGATGACATATTACACGGCGAGCAAGTTTTAATAATCGCCATAATGAATAGGCACTATTCAATTATAGCAACCGCTGACTTTTTCCTATGACATATACATAATAAATTAACCTCTTTTTTTCACACAAAATCTCCTCAATTTAAACTCGAAATAAAAAGCAGCAGTGTCATTAAAAGTAGTCTTAACAAAATAATTCTATGAGTGATAAAGAAATTGTTTATATATTCCATACTTATACATGCAAAAGTTTGTATTTGAATCTGTCTGTTACGCTCTCACACTTAAACCACTGGATCAAGTTGATTTTAAGATTGGACATAGGTTACCTTTTATTGTGATAAAGGTGTTGAAATAGGAGCATGTCTCTGTCTTTTGTTTTGATTACAATATTTCAATTTAGCAAAACGATTTAAGAAATAAAGATTACTGGTAGGTATGCATGGCTGGGGACGGCCCCAAAAAGTTGCTAAATCAAAACAAGTCAGATTCTCGTGAAGTTAAATTGACCCCGTCATACATAATTATTTACCATTCATATCAATATCGTCATGGACTACACTTTCTAAAATATTCAAAACGTCATGTAATGATCGAAAGTTATCAAAAACACCCTTTCCTAATATCGAAACAAAAAATACATAAAAAATATATCTAAAGTGCTTAGCGTTTCCATTTGAATACGTTACTTCAAACACTGTAAATTATGATATTCTACTTTTTGTCAATATATTACCATATCATGTCAGAGATATGATTTAGTTTGTGTTATCACAAGGAATAAATAGGCAGGGGAATAAAATCACTTAAATATTCTCTTTCATTTTGCTCTCATCCATTTTACACAAAGTTTAAAACCTGCGGCGCAAAACTTTGAATTTCAACTTGAATCTGAAAGAAGCCAATTGAATCTTTTTACAACTAAATGAAATTAAATAAAAACTAAATGTATTATTACACCAAAAAAATATTTGGAGTTGAAGTAATCTTGTTTTCATTTTCTGTATGATTATGTGTCCCTATGTGCACTCTAGGTGGAAACAGTGTAAGTATGACTAATTCGAGTATACCTAATGTACGATCAAAATTATCAGATACAAGAGAAGTGAGAAAAAAATAGAAAATAAACTTTCGCAAGGGCCGTTCATAGGACGGATGACCAAAATATTTTAATCGTCAGCTCCCACTTGCTTCGGAATACAAATTAAGGCGTTGGTCACGGCAGCATCCGCAATCGTTAGCACTCACTAATTTGCATTGATGCTATTCGATTCCAACCATCGGTAAGAAAAATTTCTCCTAATATACTTTCCCACGCAGACGAAGTCGTGGGCACAGCTAGAATAAAAATAGAATTCAATAAAAACACGAAAATTTAGCTTAATATGTAGTTGTTGGAAAAATTCTCGCAGATTAATATCGAAAGAAGGTTATCATTAAAAAGCATTTGAAATTAATATTATTTATCAAGTTTCTTGTTTTGCCCCAACTCTAGAAATACTAAGTATCTGCGCTCATGGCTAGTTGAAACATAGATGCAAGTATTTATAAAATGTGATTTATTCGAAACAACAACTAAAATATTTTTTCGTATAATCTCCTTACATGAACTAAAGCTATAAACAAAGATCAGCTATAATATCGATTATTCAACTAAAACAAACTATACTTAGATCTAAGTAAATTTAAAGACAGTCCAGAAGTAATGCTTTATCGTAATGATTAAGAAATGATACATTATAATAGAAATAAACTGCTTATCAAACTTATTAATTTATGAAGTTATCACAAAGACCAATTGTCGAGGGGAATAGTTGTATAAACATTTTTTAATAAAGATATAATGTTAATAGGCGATATAAATTATTCTAAATTTCTATTAACTTAAAAGTAGTATCTCGGTACTTCTAAAATTATTACTTTGGTTAAAAAGACTTTTTGTGCTTTTGAATAATTTATGGCAGGAATATTGAAAAATATTCGCACTAGTTTTAAATAATTACTCAGTTTTCAGAAAAGCCACTTATTTTCCTTGCTTTATGATAAGAATATACCAAAATTAACACATTCACTCAATTGACAGCAACTATAAACCTACACATTCGGCAACTACAAAACTTTTATTTATTTAACTATACCAAAGCACATACACATTGCTTGACATGCATAATTTACAACGGATACATCGTCCGTGTCCCTTAAGGGTTCTTATGTACATTGTGGATCTAAATAGAAAATTAAATTGAGTTGAGAAACAATTTTAGCCATCCAAACCAACGAAAAGACGCTCCATCGTAGTAGATTCAGTCATAGTTTATTTCCTAGGACGTGACATTCAGTTCGAATAGTATCGCGTCGGCGTGCGGCACCGCCTGGTGGAAAAAGTTTCACTGCGAGGATGCGTCGAGATCGCGCAGGCGCAGGTGATCAGCGAGAGGATGGGCGTGTTCTTCAATTCTTCTTTCATCAGGCCACTTTACAACAACGTTTGTGCTCGAGGGGGGTAGCGTCACCGGGGGCTCGACTACTACTGGCAGCCCCCCTTCACGCTCCGGTAACACGTGCCCTATGAGAGCGCCCACACGCTGATACGTGAGTGGTGGGACGGGTGCTATTGGATTGCGTTCTATTATATCAGGTGACACTTCGACGCCCCTGGGTTCCACATGGGCGACCATAAATATGGGCACGGCCTCCTTTTGAGGCACAATGTCGTTGAGGGCTCGTGTGAGTACCGGCGCAGTGGTCTGCGTCGCTACACATGTAGAGACGCCGCTAACGCGAGCATTTAAGCTCTCCAGGACCGTCATCAGCTCAAATAAGCGGTCATCACACAGAACTGGATTATCTGGAATGGAATATTCTTAGTGTCATTTTGTAAAGTATTTTTAAATTAATTATAGGACAAATTAAACTCAATACACACAATTGCACTCTGTACCCGGTTGTAAGATAAACGAATAAGTATCTATTAGATACGATTGCACTGTAGATAGTGTCCGGCATCGTATAAATTTTACTCAGATATTAGACAATAATGCAGAAAACAATATATTTTTATCTTAAAAATTGAAAAGTTTAATACACCAAACATTTTGCAGTTAATTTAAGGCATAATGTATTATGAAACCATAGAAGTTTGGATACAATATCATAAAATTACACCAGTCTTCAATGTAAACCGAACTATAATATTTTAACTAAATCCATTCGCATAGCGCATATGTAACTAATAATATCGCAATGCTTTTCAACAAGAGCGTAGCATACAAAAACGTGTCCTTCGATCATTATTACCATTTAGTTAAATTATTACTTAATATATTGTCTGGAAGGTTTCTTAGAATGTATTTTTAATTTCATCAAATAAGTGCTGTAATTAAACAATAACAGCCATCCAATTTCAATTCTATTTTTATTATAAGATAATATTAAATTAGAAATCTATACAGTTGTATCTACCTTAAAATTATTAAATACATAATCACAAAACTAACCTTGAAGGTAAATTTTCAATGTGCTTGGTACTCCATTAATTGTACATCTAGACTTCGTCACAAGATCATAATTAACAGTCTGGATCTGATTGTAGGAGAGATCAGCCATGCAGAGGGATGGTAACCCGTGAAAGTCTTTATCCAACGCCGTAATATTGTTATGATGAGCTAGCAGTTCCTCAAGAGAAGGCAAAAATGTCTGAAAATAAATCCAAAAAGTTCGCTTAACCAAAGATACAGTTTCTGCATAAAATATTACTTTCGCTTGAGCTTATAAGAATTATTTGTTGCATGATTCGCATTCGTTCGCATTGCTTAATTATAGGAGATACAACATTTCGCGTGACAAAATTTTAACAAACAAACCTTTGATGTTTCTTCTAGCGTAAGAATATGGTTGTGAGATACGTCTAATACTTTCAATTCTTCAAGACCTATGAGATCGTCTGGCGATATTTGTTGCAGTTGGTTATGGCTCAGATTTAATCTCAATAGACCGTGAAGACCCATCAATGCTCCTCCCAAGTTAAGTAAATAGTTGTGTTCCAATCGTAATTCAAGAACGCGCGTTTCAACATCCACAAGGTTCTGTATAAAGGTAAAGATTTAAGTCACATTCAACGTGCATTAGTATTTAATAGATTTTTATTTTACAAAAATAATGAGTTGATTACAAACGTACCTCCATGTTGCCAGAGATGAGGCTAATTTTATTATGGGACAAATCAATTACAGACAAACGCTTTAAGCCCTTGATTTCTTGCAAAGAAAACTCTGTCAGGCAGTTGTGAGTTAAATTCAGATATCGAAGCGATTTCAAGTTTCTCAATGATCCATTCAATGATTTTAGTTGGTTATATGCTATATCTAAATCTGCCAATTTTTCAGCTTCAATAAATTCATCTTCAGCTAACTGTTGAGAAATAACAAATGGTAACGTGAGGGTGTACAGATAAAAGGCATATTTAATGAAGTGACCATTCGCGAAGTTACGTTTACTTACGCTTTCAATTTTGTTAAAAGAAACGCCTATCCGTAACAACTTCTTAGATTTCTGTAGAGCCCCATCCAAAGACTTAATTTTATTTCCATAGAAATAAAGCGATTCCAACGAAGGCATCTGTTTCATATCCTTAGGTAAATTTTGTAATTCATTATGTGCCGCATGTATAAGAGTGATTCTTTTGGCTTTCTGAAAATAAGTTACCATTTTAATAAAAATTACATTATTTGTCGTTTATAGGGTATAAAAAGCTTACTTTTGTTAAGATCTTACAATAGGTAATTCGTTGTCTATAGATTTCAAATTGTTAGCGTTGATAAATATCCACTCAAGATCATCTAGGTCTCGCAGGGCTCCGTTTAATGATGTCAGCTTGTTGATTCCTAAGTGTATATGCTTCATGGCCTTCGGAACCGCATCTCTTTCTATCTTTGATATTTGATTATCAGCTACGAGTAAATGCTCAAGTTCTTGTATATCCTGAAAAAATGTAGTTTTTATTAATGTATTTGCTTAACGACAATAATCAGTAGTAACTAAATATGCTTCAAATAGATAATATTAAGAAAAAATAGTTCTGAATACTAAGAAACAGTAATTAAATGACGCTACGTTGAGAAAAGAAGAAGGTAAGTAAGATTAATGATATGTACTCTATTCTAGTGCAATTCAAATTACACGATTTTCGATACTTACTCTAAAATCGTCTTCAGTAAGGCTCGTTATTTTATTTCTGCAGAGGTCCAAGGTTTTCAGGTGAGGTAAATGGCGGAGAACGTGTCGAGGCATGTCCGCTAGAGAGTTGTCAGCTAAACTGAAGTAGTCCACAAGGTCCAACTTAGAAAACACGCTTTCTTTCAGTTCGCTGGAATTATTAAATTAGGATTATTAAAAAAAAGACAAAAACTGATTAATTTAAATTAATATTTAGAATATAACTACGTGTATTGTTCTTGACGAGTTAAGGTCATCGTATACTTTTATTCAGGACTCATTGAAATATTACATTTATCTTAATTATTAATTTATTTATGTAGTAATGAATAAATATTAGACAACAACACATACGCATGTAGGCAGATCCCAAATTACAAACTAGCTAAAGATAAACTTGTAGGATATCTGAACTAACGTAGGAACCACAATGACCACAGAACGAGGGAGGGATATAGCCCAAACTGAAAACAATATACCTAAAGAAAAGATCATTTTCTACATTGACCCGACCGAGAATTGAACACGGGTCCTCTAAGGCGACACGTGGTCGTTACATAGTGTTCTTTAGACGTGTAAACTAGTTAATTGTTAATGAGTAAGCATACATCATTATGTGTGTTGTACTAATAAAAGAAGATAAAAATAAATAAATAACAATAATATTAATGAAAAGATAGCAGGTGTAATCAGTAAAACCATATCAGTTGACACTGACAAGTCAGTCAGAGGGTAAAAATAATTTCTCGACAGACAAATATAACTTATTTATTATCACATGCTTTGAAGTAGAGACCCTATTGTAACGGTTCATATTTATAGTAATTGCACGCCATTTTTAAGCTACAAATTAATATCAGACAATGGATATAGTGGAGAGGGGGTGGTACTATAAATACGAGAAAGTAAGAGGCTTAGGCCTGTCTTGTATTCTCTGAGGGACAGGGCTCAAGTGTCTCTGAGGCTCACCCCCAACCCGCAGTACGACCCGTCCTGCAAGAGGTTGGCTGAAATGGGGGCACAGTGTTCGGTAAGGGGCATAGCTGTTACCGTGCATCGCCCACCATAGAGAGGAACATCGGTGGATTTTAGTGAATGTGCTGCTGCTATCCTGCATCTTGACTAGCCCGCTTCTGGGGGGGTGGTCTGCAGGATAGAGCCCCATATAACCATTGTTGTTGCGAGGTAAACAGTAATGCATTTCCATCATTTAAAAAAAGGTGCAGGTGCGTCTGAATAGCGCTTACATAATCATAGTAACGTAGCAAACATGCTGGTGTAGGCAAATCTTCGTTGGTTGGTGGTAATAAGTCGGGTAATCTAAGAGATAGGGATAGTTTATTAAAAAAAACCAGTCAAATAGAGATAGATGATGGGTTAAGGTGCGAAATTGAATGTCAAAAACTATTTAAATAAATTATTCGCTATTTAATAAAATACTGAAAAAATATACAAGAGCTTCCTATATCACTGATATATATCATTCGTAACCCAGTGCTGAGACCTCAGCACTATTCAATTGCATGTGCTGGAACACATAATAGTGGAGGAGCAAAGTACGAACTATTGTAACACATATTAAAGATGCAATTGAATAGTTTGAAATTAGCTTTATTCTTAATATAAAAACTAAACTAACTGTTCAATGCTAATGAAGTGAAATGCGGCGACTATTATTACTATTAAGTACTTGTCACCTCCATTTTAACGCACCCTCTTCTATTTTGCTGTGCCCGACGGGGTCAGTAATGTTACTATAATTTTTTGTAACACCATATTTCGTTTCATTATACTACTTCGACATGTCTTATGGTCACATTCATATTATTTATGCTTCGTTATTGCCTGACCTCCACACTGAGTACTGAGTGATATATATATACTTTAAGATATTCAAATATAAAGCTTAGAAAGCTTTTGCACATTTTTATCACGAGCTCTTCGTCTATAAATAGTGATGATTATTTCTGATAATATACGCATAACGTATGGTAGTGTGTGCAATGTTCTCTTTTATTAATTTTACATCTTTTTTTTATTATCAGCTATCAGCAGGGCATAATTCAATCGTAGCCGAGCGGTTCGCACGCCGGTTTCAAGGTGTCACTATCTCTGAGGTCCCGGGTTCAATTCCCGTCAGGTCAATGTAGAAAATGAACATTTCTATATTGTCCTGAGTCTGGGTGTTGTGGTACCTAAATTGTCTCAGATACTCCATAATACGGGGGCTTTAGCTACTCATCTTGGTATCTGAGCAATGTATGTGATGTTGTTATATATTTATATAATTTATTATTAATTAATTAAACTTACTTCAAAATGAATTACAGGGGTGCGACCGCCTAACCCACTAGCCTTATTCCTTATTCATTTTACTATTTTGACATGTCTTTTGGTGGAAATGTGGAATAAATGTCTAATTCCATCTCAGTGTACCAGAGACAAAGTAGATTTTTTTAAACATTATTCATTAAGAATATTTTCTAGTAGATAATAACATCGATAAAATGTCGAATCCCATTGCTAGAATTATAACTAGAGACTTAGGAGCTCGTTCGAGGCTGATTGTATTCATTACAGAATAACAAAGCTGCACTCCATATAAACTCAAATTGTGCCAAACATATTCCTCCGTCCCTGTAAGTTACGAATACAAAAGGTACGGAGTTTTTATTCATGTATTTCTATTGTTGCTGACCGCAAAATGGCTCTCAGAATAAGCTTTATAGCCTAAAAATTGAAGTATGGTTCATTAACAACAATTATTATAAGCATAACCAGTCTAGTAATGTCCCCATTGCTGGGAATCAATTCGAATAGTAAGAAGCTTTAGCATTACGTTTAACAATTTTTACTCATTTTCATCCTAGAGATATTCGACAGTCCAAATACGTAGTGTAAGTGTACTGTGGTGTTTGGTAGATAACCGAATGATTGAGTGTTTAGGAAATAGAGCTTGCTAGGGAGTGTAGAATTAGAAGCTTGGCTCTATACGAGATTCGATAACTTTTTGACACTGCGAGACTTATGGTCTCGGCTTGGGAACAATTTAGATAAAAATGTTTTTGATGGAATTATCATATATTTATTAAGAAAGAGTAAAACTTTAGTTAAATTATTTTGGAACCTTAAAAAATATCTACATTATCTAAAAAATAAACTGTCAAATCAACTTATTTGTTTCTAATATAATAACTAATGGGACGTGCAACTATAATCGAACAACACTAATAGCAGCTAGAAATCTAAGCTGCTCCTGGTCACCATTATATTGCTTTATTGCTAAAATATCCCTTCATACTCTTTTCTATATCTATATATATAAAAGCGAAAGGTCATTCATTCACTCACTCATCATGAAATCTCAGAAACTACAAGTGCTAGGAGTTTCAAATTTTTGCATGCGGATTCTTTTTAGGAGGTAGGTGCCTACCATGACGGGATTTTATGAAATTCGATCGCTAAGAGGGTAAATTAGGAGAAAAAGTTTTTATGGGATTTTCTCATTTCTGGACTAAAAACTAGATCACGCGTGCGAAATCACTGGTGGGAGGCTTGTAGGGTATACATTTATCTTAAAGAAACATCTTTAACATAAAATGTTTAAGGAATCCACCACCGTCAAGTACCCCGAGATGGGACTCGAACCCACACCCTTTCGCAATCTAATTGAGCTACCTAACAGAAACCTTCTACCAAAACATAGTGGGCATGAAACGGCGCTATCATGGAAATTGGAATCGTATCAGATTATTGTTGGTAAGAAGAGAAGCGATAGATCGCAATTACAGAAGAAATAGTGCCACAAGTGTGCATTTTTTAAATTATTTTACCTACTAAATATACTAGATAATATTAAAATCAATTTAACTTGATTTATTTTATTTCATGGGCTTACAAGAGTTGATAATTTGTTGACCAGTAATGTTGAATCAATTTTGCACACGAATTTAAGATAAATTGATTGAAATTATATTATGGAATAATTTTAACACATTAATAGAATAATAACAAATAATAATATAATTATGCACGCAGGCAATGTTGAGATGCAATTAACTGCCCAATCGTATACAAACTAAATAAGATTCCTTATCTATTATTTGAAATAAAAAAGTAACGATGTTGGAAAATAAACCAACATATTTTTAACTACCTTGACTGACAATATTCTTCGTTAACATCTCATTTATATGAACTTTGGCCTGACGTTCATTGGAGCAATTTGTCTCAGAGATAAAAACTAAACAAGAAAACTGTCACAACCTAATATAAATATATATAACACAGTGTTCCTGACACGGGATCAAATGTTAAGTGAAGAAATGAATTGAATATCGAAGATAAAGTAAGATAACAGACGGACGAGTTAACGGAACTTTACAGCGACTGAAGACGAAATGTAATTATTACAACGTTAGATAAAACGTTTATTTTTTAAGATAAATAGTTATTTTTTTAAATTAGATGACCTTATAACTACATCGTCGCTGTTTACGATTCACTTGAGCGTTGAGCGTAAGAAAAAAATCCTGACTTTTAAAAAATTGTACCTATCATTAAGGTAAATTCAAACGTATTCAGGAAAAAAAATTGATAATCAGAAATCATTTGATGGCATAAGATATGAAATATATTAAGTTATAAAGAATTGTTTATATATTATACATTATCATAATGACGTTGAACATTTTATTTTAACCTTAGCTACACTTTAGATTTTCCATATTTTAGTTGAATATTTCCCGATCTTAGGTTATGTGGAAAAGATGCAGGCGATATCATGCGCAAGAGTGACGCCAGTTTAGTAAACACTAATGTGAGGAGGTCAACGTTCCGGGGTTATCGCTGTAAGGGCGGCGCCAAACGGTCGCGTGGTCGCGACACGCTACAACAAAATCGTTGGAGACCGTCGACAACACCCAATACTACTACTGACTAAGGTACTATTCCCATATGACTAAAAAAGTACGCACTACCATATTTTATATTATGATGAATATTACAATAATTAACACTTAAATTGCTTTTAATACCCTATCAGTGCAGGCAAATCAAGCTTCCAAGCAGAACTTAATTATATATTTTTAACAAAAACACATCTCAAATTGGATTTATTATTTTGGGGACTCGATCAAAAATATAGATACA